GAGGTCATGGAGTCTCTCTCTGCATTCTTAAAATATAGACCACTTTTAATCTCATATTTCTATCTTTTTAGCCGCCAAAAACTCTATCAGTTGGTTCCCTGACCAGGAAGGGCAGGCGAGTGACTCCTGGGATCCTCCCAGTCTGAGTTCCCTGCCAATTCACGGACTGGACTGCATCCTGAATTAATTCCTCACTTCTCAACACGCAGGAGCTGCTCACTTGTCGCTGCTGGTTTGCAAACAACGGTCTAATTCATTTACCGCAGGTGAGCCAAGTCTGAAGATTATTCCGTGGTGGGCCAGGCCCCACGCCGGATTTTCTTTCCGTTCCCTGGACTGGAGTAGCACTCTCAGGTCCCTTGGGCAGCCCCGAGGCAGAGCCATTACTATAATCCATGGGAAATCCACTCGTGCTTTTTGGTGAAGATCAAAAAACATGAGTTTTGGAACCGATTACTGCCGGTCTAAGAGGCCAGGTGATGGCCTGACCTGCCTTAGATCAAGGTAGGTTGGCTCACTTTACTGTGATTCGGTCATGAGGACCACTTCCTGCCCCCCAAAAATCACACCTCTGGAGTGCCTGGTTCAAAAGGCTACCTAAAACGAAAAAGCTGATCTTTTATTTACAGCTTATCACACTGGCAGCAAGTTTACAGAAACTCTCCATCTTTAGGCCTTTGTTTTAAGAATGTGCCCCTCTCTCCCTCTGCTCCTCCAGGATCCCTCCCCCTCCCCACACTTAGGAGGTGGCTTCTTTCTTTACGGCTTCTCCCCTGTATCTCACACACCAAACCCCGCAGCTTTCTTAGTGTCCTCCTTTCCTCCCTGCTTCACCCATTTCTCAATCCCTCCCTGCGTGTGCGCCAGGATGGGGGAGGTGTGCACAGACAACATTGGGCTGTGCGAAGGTGGTGCAGGTGGGGTGTGCATAGTGTGCAGTGCACACCGAGGGGCCTATGTGGGTTGCTCTGGGCTTTCACGGCGTGCCCCAGCTCTGTGCTCCACCCTGGGTGCTCTCTGCGTCTCCCTAGCAGTCCCAGTCTGCTCTATAAACAGCTGTTCAAGTTTTTATTTGAGCTCAACAATTTTTCCCTTTTATACATCCTCAAACCATTTAATCAAGTTTTATTTGGATTCTAGATTTAAAAAACATGCTTCCACCTAGTTTCCCAGCTGGTCAAAATGGTGCTAAAACTGGTTAAATAAAATCTCTTGGGGTTAAGAGACATTGGACAAGACTTCAATTGATAGATGGAGAAAGTGGCCACCTGGTTATTTTACCATCCTTGTTTATCAATTGAGGCCTCCAATAATCTCCATAGCCTTATGGGAGACACCTCAGCTAAAGTTCATATGACTAAGACAATTCATTGTTGCTTATCTGATGGTATATTCATGCTTTTGAATATAAAATTGAGATTATTTCTGCTGCCTTTTTCTTGTGTTCCAGCCAAAAGATACAGATCAGACCAACACGAGGTCATCAGTCAAATAATAATTTTTAAACAAAAATTTATACAATGTATGATGACAAGTGTTTTCTTTCAGATACAGACGTATGCTTAGAGATGCTTCACAAATTTCTTCAGTACTCAAATGTTAAAATTCCCATGGTTAATAGTCATTTAATGTTCTATGTTAAGCTTACTGCCTATACTGCACTGTACTATTATCAATCTTCTGGATGTTCAATGACTGAAATTAAGAGATAATTATAAATTCCTTTTGGATTCCTTTTGCTGGGATCCACCAGATCTTTTCCAGAAAAAAAGTTATATGATGCATGCAGAATAACAATATCAGCACTGGGGCAGAGGCCAGGTTTGAGCCTTTCCCAGCCTGTCTGCCTGCCCTGGCTCCGCCCTTCACCGAGCCATAATTAACTATACTCAACTGGTGTTAAATGACACTGTAGCTGATCTCACTCCTAAATAAAAAGGTAAAATTAATAAAACAGGCCGTCTTCCAAAAATCAGATGGCATTTGACATTCTAACAACATAAAGAGATACTTATATATGACAAATAAATGACATGTCAGTTCCTAAAATTCCCTGGACCTTATCCTCCTTATAGGAGCCATTACTGAAGTTATGATCATAAGTACTCTGTTGATTGTATTATTAGACTTCTGTATACTTGATTCTACAGATACCTTCTACTGTGTACCAGATCCCAAGACAAAAGGCTAAACTTGGTCCTTAAACCCCACAAGGAGACCTTAATATGGCTTCTCATGTTTTCAACAACAGAGATAAAAAATAACAATCTGAGATCTTTTAGCAATGTCACATAGAGCTCTGAGACAGGTAAACCGACACAACAATCTGAGATCTTCTAGCAATGTCACTTAGAGCTCTGAGACAGGTAAACCGACAGAAGGTGGAGCTGCCTGAGCCCCTCCTGGATCATGCTTTGAATGCAGCAGAAGGACATTGGGCAAGAGAGTGCCCCATCCTGGCATTCCTTTGGGGCCTTGCCCCAGGGCCACTGGAGCGACTATCCTAGCCACAAGAGAGTGGGTAAGCCACTCCTCCAACTTCTAACCCTCACAGGAAATGCCAGCACTGCCAGATTCATTGCTGACAGATCTGCTTGGACTTGCTACTGACAGGGCTCGGGGCCCACAACCCCATTAAGGTGTCCTTCTCAGAGCCCCAAGTCCCACTAGAGGTCTCAAGTAATACATTCTCTATACTTGTGGACATAGAGGCCATGTATAGGGTTCTTGCTGAGTTTTCAGGCTGCTATATTAAGTCCTCAGTCTCTATAGGGCGTACTGATGGCCAACCTATGCAGTCTTTACAGACAGGGCCTATTTCATGCAGGTTCCAGGCTGCTTCTTCTCTGGTCGATCCCATAGTTTGAGATACCTCCAATCCCACCTGTGCTGCCCATGCCATACCTATTTTAATTTGTCTCAGGGATCCTTCAATTCTTCCTTGTGTTCCCCAATATCCTATAGCTTCCAAACATTTACAGGGACTTAAATCTGTAATTAAGCACCTTTTAGACAATGGTTTTCTTAAACCTACCCATTTATCCAACAATACTCCCATTCTCCTGGTACTCAAACCTGATGGGTCTTACCCTCTAGTACAGTACCTTAAAATACTCAATAGTTCTGTTACCCCAACCCACCTAGTGGTACCAAACCCTTATACTATGCTCTCTCATATCCCTCCCTCCACCACTCACTTTACAGTCCTAAATCTTAAAAATGCCTTTCTATTCCTTTGTGGTTTTGCAGACTGACCCAGATACTCTGAGGTCTCAACAGCTTACACCTGTTATCTCTAGTAAAACCTCTCCTTAGGAACACATAGCACCCCCTTCTTTCCAATTCATCAATTTCTCAGACACAAACCTGGTCAAGACTGGCAGATTTTACATACATGCCTTGCTACAAAACTCTCAAATATCTTCTTACCTTTGTTTGTACCTTTTCAGGATAATAAAAGTCTTTCCCACAACCAGGGAAACTGCTGATATACTTACTAAAGTCTTGGTACAGCAAATCATCCCAAGGACTACAATCAAGGTGGAGAGCCCATACCTGGTCTTCTCAGCAACCTCAACAGTGGTCAAAGTTGCTGGACTGCCATCTTAGTTTCACATCACTCAAGCTAAGTGGTGCCCTCCCAGCCCTAGATCTAACCACCCTTTTCTCATGTTTTGTTATCCAATTTGGTTCCTAATTTCTTGCATTCTATTAATTATCATTTTACAGCAGGACTCTCAACAGTCTTTCCTAAAGACTCCCATATCATGCGTAAGATCATCTTCATAGTGTTCTATGTGACAACTGTCTTAGTTCTTTCTACCCTCAGCTGTTTGGTTAAACACAAGATCCCTAAAGGCCTAGGCTCTTACCTTCCCTATAGTGACACAGCCATGGCCTTCCCCACCCCTCCTATTCTTTCCAGCTCAACTCCTGGACCAGAGACAAGTCCTAACTACCTACCCTCTTAACTTTTACCCTTTCAGATGGGGAAATAATCACCTCTCATAACTTCACTCCTCCTAACCACACACTTATTTTTCAGAATTCTACCTCACCATGGCAATGATTCTACCTTAACATGGTCCTAATAAAATGACATCTAAATCAAAGGCACCTTTCCTCCTACCTCACTCATAACACCTTGTCTCTTTGTTTTCCCAGTCTAATGTGTGGGCATTCACCAGTGATAAAGTTGTCCTGGTTAAAACACCTGATGCCAGCTTCCACATGGTGGAACTGTCATCCCATCGACCCTCCTAAACCCCAGTACAGTACCCCCTTTCAGCAGGAAGCAGTAAAAAAGAAAAAGAAAAACTTTGCCCTTTTTCCTAATAACAAAAAGACGGGAATGAAAGGATTGTGCCCTGAGTGGGGACTGGTAGTGGTGGGAGGCTGGGAGGTGGAACCAAGGGGCTCTATCTTGAGGTCACTTTCCCCGCCCGTAGGCAATTTACCTGTGGTGTGAAATGAATACCAATGGGCTACCAGTGCATCAGTAATGCCCCTTAGGCACCACCCCAAATCTGAGCTATATGTATGCCCCCCACAACACATGTCCAGCAGAAAGAAAGCCAGACCCTGGAGGTCATGGAGTCTTTCTCCACATTATTAAAATAAAGACCACTTTTATCTCATATTTCTATCTTTTTAGCCATGGCAAAAATTCTATCAGGGTGCATCACTTCCTCCAGAAGCTTTACTCAGTGAGGAAGGAACATTTTCACAAGAACGACAAAAAAATCTGCAGAAACTGAGAACTAAGCATTTTATGAATATCTATAGATATTTCTTTTTTAATGAGACCAGGAGGAGGCTTACCTAACCTGTCCCCTAAATCATGCAGGGTGGTTGGAGCACTATAAAAATACTACAACACTGACACAAGTGAATGGCAGTTGACAACTAGCAAGGAGAGTAGGAGGAGCAACCCCAGGGGACAGGGATGGCCAAGAGACAGCTGTATTTACAAACTGCATTTCCAAGGGTACTGGTCTAACCTTTTCACGAACTCTTCAAAGAGGATGCGGTGGGAATAGCCCTGCCTGCGGATGTTGACGGTCTCCAGGATGCCTGTGGAGCGGAGCTGGACCAGGACCCTCTCTCGGCAGAACTGCAGGGCCTCTCGGTCATCATTGGGTTTAATGCAACGCACGAAGTGAGGCTGTCCAACCACCATTTTGGAGAGCAGGTCCATCAGAGAATACTGCCAGGGAGAAAAGCTCACCTGTGATGACATTACTAACAAGGGGTTGCAGGGCCCATTGGAGCAGTGTAAGGTCTCTGAGTGACTCTCAGACCTCTGAGTCAAAACAAGAAATCAGCACCAAGGGATGGCACTGGAATTTCTCAAAAAAGCATTTTGAAGCATCTAAGGCCAAGCAGTATCTCCATGTGGCAGAAACTTATCTAAGAACATGTTCTAAGTTATCCTGAAATATTCTCTGGTATCCAAAATGATACTGTACAAATCATAATTTAAAATTCCTGGCCTTGGGGGAAAGAGTTAGTTATTTCCTTAGCCTAAGAACTACCAGAAAGTCTAAGTAAATCCAACTAATACTACTTATGCAAGGTAGAGGAATGTAAAAGAAAATTGGAGAAAAAGATTATGATCAAGATCAAGTAGCATACTCCTGGCAGAGAGAAGAGAGGAGAAAAAGTGTGGGAACCCAGAGAGAAGTTGTGTCAGGAGACCCCCAGATGTCACCCATGACACCCATTTTCAGAGCTCTTCTTGCAGGGAGGCCTTCAGGGGCAACTTTAAGCCACAAAGGAAAGGAGTTCTATTTATTCTATTTGGCCTTAATGACCAAAGCTGTTCTTGTCTAACTTACCAATGTAACTCATTTCTCAGGTGTAACACTTGGAAGCCAGTGTTTCAAGAATACCAAATTAATTTTCAAGAGTATATTTCTGGAAAACTAAGCCAGAGGCTTCTCTATTAATAAGGATGGTCCTGCATCTTTTTTTTTTTTTTTTTTTTTTTTTTTTTTGCACTGGGAATCAGGACCTCACACTTGCCAGGCAGGTGTTGCACCACTGCCCATATATTCCTAGCCAGTCCTGGATCTTGAAGATGACTTCACAGAGTCAAACAGGCTCTAAATTCCATAAGGAAACACACATACACACACACACACACACACACACACACACACACACACACGGAGGGTACATACTAGGAGGGTGAGGATATAGTCACTAACGGGAATAGAATTAGAACAACTAGAAAAATCCAACCACCAGATAAAGTACAAATTGCAAGTCATGCCACGAGGGTACCAAAGAAGGGATCTCTGCAGAGCTGGAATGCTAGGGTCAAAGGTCTGGTGTCTCTGTAACTCACACTGTGAGCCAATTCTAGTCCAACTCTGAAACAACTGAGTATGTTGATTTTTATGGCTTCAGATCCTTCTTATACCTTCCATATACAGGGCTGATTCCTAGGTCCTGTCCCTCAGTCCATCTGGTTCCTACATTGCCCAGCTTCTCACCCTCCTGAAAACCCAGCCCTGCAGACTCCCTTCCTGTGCCAATACCACGTTACCTCCTTGCTTGGCTCCCCCACCCCACCCCAGATCAGTTCCCACATTGGCATAGCATAGCACCACTCTACCATGAAGCTACCTGGCCCTTAGCTCCTGGTGCTCCATGGTCTGTAGTATGAAGATCAACAAGCCTGTGCAGACTGGTAGACATGTATGTCTAATCTTTGCTGTGCAGAGCCCTTCAGAGATAATGTTTTTATTCAAAGGAAGCATTTTACTAGATGAAATACCAGAAATTGCAGTAGTAGAAATGGTCAATAATAGGGCTCAGGTGAATGGGATTTGCACTGTGTCAATTCACTCTAGAAATAATAAAATCAATGCTTTATTCAATATGCCACTTTCTGGAATTTTATTATCTATGATTATAAGAGATAAAAGTATTTTTAATTGGTCCTTTTTGGTCTAGACAAATAAGATCATTTGATTACTCCTGTAGCTTTAAAGCCAAGAAGCAGCTCAAAGGCCAACGGAACAAGCACATTCAATACTAAAGGCTGTGTGTCTGGTGGCCTCTCTCCACTGTTGCCACCATTTGTCCCTCCCCGTATCCCACCTTCTTTCTTAAGGGCTCTGGTGCTTTGCCTTTGTTCCAATGACTCCTTCATCCCCAGACCTCTCATGGGAAGGCTAGCAAGTCCCCTCTGGAAGCAGATCAAATAGAGATCGAGGAGACTCCATACCCGGAAGTAAGAAGCCATGGTTTGCCTCTTCATGTTGGTGGTTTCTTCTGGATGCCGCATCACCTCGAGGGTGTCCACCTGGAAACACAGCAACAGGGAGGTGGTTTTAGGATACAGGTTCTTCATTCATTCATCAGGTTTCCCAAAATCTGAAAGCTTCTTTGGGCAAAGAGACAAGAGCACACCTCATGGGGAGAATTCTTAAAGACAGAATATAAAGAAAAAATGAAGTGCATATTCAAGAAAACTAGATAGAGGTCAATAAGATTAGGTGGTTATAAAGCTGTGGATCCCCAGCCCAGGTAGCAGCACAGGAAATTCAGCCAGCATCAGTTGCCCCCCTTTCCATTAGACCCTGATCCTCTCCATACCCTGGCTGACCAGTTCCCACATTCTTGCTGCAAGCAGGAGTTCACATGGGCACCAAATCCCTCAGGAACCCCTGGCTCATCCCAATTGTCTCTGCAGCTATCTCAGTTGGCTACAGGGAATTTTGGACAAAAATAACAGTAGGAAGGAATTGCAAAGGGACAATGTTTCGTTATTCACTGTAGCTCAAAAATAAAATCCCAGCTTCGGCTGGCCAAGCGCACGACTGTTTCAGTGCCAGCCTCACACATCAGGTATGGCAGCTTCCCACTGGCTCTGGACTCATGGCAAGGGGTGACACAGGAATGGTGGAACAGGAAGATGCTGCTGTTCACATGGCTTCTGCTAGTGGGCTGCTGCCCAGCCAGTCACTCCCCATGTGGGGAAGATTTCTACAGCTCTGGGCAACAAAATTGAAAAATGGGTGCTAAGAGGTGAAGGGCTCGTGGGGGTGGCAACAATGACACCTGGACAAGTACTTAGGGGACTGTGAAAAATGGAAGGAAGCACTTCAACTGGGTTGGATAAAGAAAACAGGATTCTTTAAGAAGGGAGAAAGCTTGGGGCTAAGTTCTTTAAAATGAGAAAAATCCAGGGACCTTAAACAGCAGGAAGCCAAGTGAAGACACAAGCCGGGCTGCACTCTGGCTGCTGGCTGTCTACTCACATGCAGCTGAAACAGTGATACACCTGCTGGGCTATTTGTCAGTTTCAAAGTACGCTTTCTGTTTTATTTTGTTTGTGGGACTGGGGACTGAACTCAGGGCCTTCACAGAGGGCTATAGCCTCAGTCCTTTTCTTATTTTTGAGACAGGTTCTCACTAAGTGCCCAATTTGCAATCCTCCTGCCTCATCGTCCCAGAGTGCTGGGATGACAGGTGTGCACCACCATGAGCCAACTTCAATTTATTTATTGAAAAAGGAGAAAGTAAGACTATTTAGGATAAAGACTGCTCTAATATAGGAAAGGAAAAAGAAATACAAACTGCCTGACCCCACCTGCAGACAGGGTGCTGCCTTCCCTCAGTGGTGCAGAGATTGGTCTGCACTGCAGGTTTCTTTTCCCCTCCCCTCTCCCCATCAGAGGGCAGCGCTGTGGGTGTGGGGTTTGGGTGAGCTAAGCAGGATTTAAGGTAAGATCTTGGCTAGAGTTAGCCTTCAGCTGAATGCTAAATTCTGAGTTTTCTTAACCTTTTCTCCCCTCACCCACTCCCCCATAACCACACACACATACAACTTTTGAGAGTTTCTCCACCACTTCCTTGTATTTAGAGCTCTCCTCCACCCCAACCCTCAAAACACATACAAAGAAGCACCTCTGGCTTTGAGCCTTGCTTCTGCTCATCGTTACCTTCCTTTTTTGCCAGGGAAAACCAGCCCCCAAGGTTGTGGTCCACTGTGAAAGGGCTGTTGAAAAGCTTGCCCAGATTGCTCTATTTGTATGTTATAATGAATTGACCCATTATGTATACTTAGAAAATAAAGAAGACCTAGGCATTTGAAAATTTAATAGCTCTATGACCAGAAATCAATCTTTGCCATTTGGAAACTTTGTTTTTTGAGCTGGAGAGGTCTCACTATGTTGCCCAGGCTGGACTCAAACTCCTGGGCTCAAGAGATCCTCCTGCTCCATGTCACATACCACCATGCTTGGCATCTGAGATACAATGGAGAAAGAATAAAATGTACTATTTTGAAAATCAATATAGGCCCCTGCAGCAAAATGGGAAAATACAGAGTGAGGTACCAAAGGTAGCTCTAAGTTACAAGGCTGGTACGGACAGAAGGGAGCACTCAGTAAGTTCCTGCAGAAGGTAGAAGCCCCCAGCAAGAGGGAGTTCCTGCCTGGTCACCCAGGCTCTTACATTTCTACCTAACTTGCAGACCTAGCTTCACATACAGTGTAGTTCTCAGGAAGGTAGTGAAAACCTGTTCTTTGTTACATATAACCTGAAAATGCTAACATTTGTCTACAGATCATCACTGTGTTTTCCGGAGAAATGACATGATGCTATTAGAATATTTTCTAACTTAAGAATTTAAAAAGGTCACAGGTTGGTCAAAGGTTTCTTATATATTTACATGGTTACAAGGTTCTCTTGAACACAGAGCAGATCTGAAAGAGGAAACCAATTTCAAAAAGATCAGTAAAAGGAACATTTTGAATTAAACCACTTTCTGGTTCAATATACTTTCCTGCTGGGGAACTACTTTACAAAACAATGCAAATCACTTAAAATTGAATAAGCTTGATTTCTCCTAACCTTGGTCACTTTCTCCTTGCTGGAATTCAATACCCATATAGACAAATTAAAGTAGAAGAGGACTATTTTGGCTCATGTTAGAGGTTCAGCCCATAATTAGCTGGTTCCAGGGCAAAAGTGACACAGTAGAAGCATCTGGCAGAGTAAAGCCAGGAGGTCAGGGCAGCCAGGAAGCAGAGAGAGAAGGGGCGAACTGGGGAGTGAGATACACTCCTACCAGGTCACACCCCAGTGACCCACCTCTTTCCATCAGACCCTGCCTCCTAATAGCAAGTCAGCTCTGCCAATCACCTTCCAAAAGCTGTGGCTATGAGGTTCTTTGGGGACATTTTGATACTAACCATAACTCTGCCATATGACAAATGTCCTGCCTGGTTCGTTATAAGTGGTGCTGATTAACTTTCAAAGTCCATGAATAAGCCTGACACATTGTGTCACAGCCCACAGCAGCTGAGCAAGCTTTCAGGTACAGACTGCACACATGGAATCTTACAGGGTTATCAAAACTTGAGAAATAAAGCATACATTGAGTGTATCCTACATGAAATCACTGTATTGGACTAAAAGGTTTATCTACATTATGTCACTGAATTCTCAAATGACACCAAGGTAAGTAATATTTTTATTCCCATACTACACCTAAGAAAGTTAAGGCTCAGAGATTTTAGGTAAGTTTCCCAGAGTCTTGCAGCCGGTATGTGAAGGCAAAGACCTGATCTCAGCTTTGTCTAATTCCTAAACCTTCTTCTTAAACATTACATAGTGCCACCCTGTATAGTATGACATAGAAATCAACGTCTGAAAGCATGAAATTATTAAAAAGGTTTGCTGTACCTGTCAACTGAATTTACTAAAGAATAAAGATAAAGACTCCAAAAAAGACCCATAAACCATCCAGATATCATCAATGAATGAAAAACTGAAAAATGTTCTCCTGGTCTCAGTAAGTGCTCACTATTTGCATTCTGAACCCTCAGAAGTGCTTGTACTTATTATCTTCTTGACAAGACCTTTTGTCAGGAGTTTTTACTGCTATCAAGTGAGACATTCACCCTTAAGAAATCTTACAGCACCACCCTCCCAAGAGCCCCCGAGGCACTTACGGGATAACCTAGCATTGCCAACAGCTCAGCACAGCAATGGGCAGTGTGTCAAGAGTGGCAGCATTCGGGGCACATTACCCCAAAATATAGCAATCTGGCTTTAAGACAACAGCAAGAGCACAATGACAACTTCACCTGCCTTTCACCCATCTTCTCTGAAGCAGGCTATAAACCTAGAAGGTTCACCCTCTGACTTTCTTTCTTCCTCCTCCTCCCTGCAAGGCCCTCTTGTGTCAGGTGTTCACTACATGCTCAGAGGAAAGAATGTCACTGAATTCCTACCAGGTCACACCCCAGTGGCACACAGGGACCCAGGAAGGATCTGACGCACAGGTCTGGCTAAATTCCCCTCGTTTATGAGCACCAGGCCGATTCCTTTGTCCTCTCATCACACCTCAACATAACATGAAAATACACAGATTTCCTTGTTTCTTGGGTCTTCGTTTCTGAAGCCTCCCATGTCACTTATACTTTATATTAAATACATATGTTTCAAGAGTCCCAGCCATGAACTTTAAGGTGAGTAAGGAAAAGAAAATATACATAGCTGAGCTTCATCTAAGGCCACTTCTGTTATTTTTATCTTGGACAAGGCAGAGACTGCTGAATTTTTGTTCAGTTGGTTTTTATTTTTAGTTTTTCTGATTGCTGTTGCCCTTAATATTTTTGGATGTTTTAATTATATCTTTTAATTCTTCTCTTTTCCAAGTAAAACTCTAGTAATTGACATCTGACCTACACAAGTTACTTTTTAATAATATAAGTGTATGCCACATACTAGATGCAGACAGGGCCTCATGCAGACAGGGCCTGAAAAATAGCAGATGGTACCGGGAGGGAGATACCACTGTACTGGAATTCTGGCTGTGGAATTCTGGGTGTGGAAGAACAGGCCCTGGCAGGATCACATAGTCCAAAATCAAATCTAGGAAAGGAGGGGCATCTGGGTTGACAAAGAATATTGTAAATGGGCCCTTAATCTTTTTGTGTCATGTTCACCTTTAAAATCCGGTAGAAGCCAGTACTTCTGTACTTGTGAATGTGCCTACTGAAAGAGTTGCTGGCCCAGACCGGACACTTTAACCAGGAAAAGCTGCAGCCAAGTTAGGGGGCTTCTGACTCCCCCGCCCCCTATAGATTTACCTGTAACCCTATACCCCCATCCCTAGGAACCTGTTTCTGGCGCTAAACGTGTGCCAATGAAATACCTGTACATCCCTAATGCCCCTTGGGGTCCACCCCAGACAGAGGTTACTTATGGGCCTGACTCCACGTGTTAGAGAAGAAGAAGAAGAAGAAGAAGAAGAAGAAGAAGAAGAAGAAGAAGAAGAAGAAGAAGAAG